GGTATTGACTATTAAACCCCTTTTATTGAAGTCCTTTCTTCCAACTTAATTATATTTCTCATCGTCTTTATTTATTTATTTATTATGTATTTTAAAACAGGTGCTTTTTACTTCTACTAAAGGGATTGCACTCAAGATCTATTAGGGTAAAAACTTAGGCAACTGGACGACCTTCAAAATTTCCAAAATATTAGTCTTTGATAAAACAATTGAAGTTAAACATTAGTAAACTAATCAAACCCACATATTTACTATTTTACCACAAACTGCACTAGAGGTTCTGGGAATATGGATGCCAAAGCAAATGGAATGTCATACGTTGTCTACACAATAAACATGGCAATAGTTGAAATGCAAGTTCCCTAATGATCCCCAACTTTTATAGCAGCTAGTATGCCTATCTTTATCTTCAACACCACAAATACACCAAAATCTTATGCTAAAAATTGAAACTAATAGGCTATTCATACAAGAATTTTGTAAGGTATTATTTGAAGTAAAAGGGTATAAAAAGAAAGCTATAACCAAAACCAACGACTAAAAAGTAGGGAACCCCAGGGACTTACCAAAGCAAAAGCGTAAAAGCATAGCCTACTCCTTCAACACAAGGACAGCAGAGGATATAGTTCTAAAAATAAATTAAAAATGATCGACCAAGGAATGAAGAGCCCACTCTGAGCATCCAAATCCTCTCAATTCCGTATGGTGAACAAAATTTTTTCACTCATTTTTATATCAAATTGTGTTCGAATTGAAGCTAAAAGTTAGAATTGCAAGAATTCATGAGAAACTCCAAGAAAATCAAAGTATGCATACCGATTTGAGGAAGACTTGATAATGAAAAAGGAGAGGAGGTTGCGTTTAGGGCAGGTTGTGGCCACCATTTACATGAAATAAGAGAACAACAAAATGTTTCCAACTTACCATTGTATAGGGTTCTAAAATTTTAATCTGGCCGTCTTCTCTCTCTTTCTTCATATTCTTCCCTTTCCCCCCTTTTTCTTTCTTTTAGGTACCTTAACTCTAGAACGCTAACCTAATTGATCCAAACTTTAAACCCCTTTTATTCAAGTCCTTTCTTCTAGCTTAATTAAATTTCTCATCATCTTTATTTATTTATTATATATTTTGAAATTTTTCTAAATGATTAAGAAATTTAGTGGTATTAGAAGAGTTGTGATCTAGGTCAGTGCTTAGTGACAACTCTAGATTTCACCAAAAATTCAATGCCCACCTTTCAACCCTCGTGTGGGAGTGGGACTGATCCCAACGGCTACATCCAACAGTAGTTATGCCATTCTTGCAAAATCAATTATCTACACCATTTTATTTGAATAAAAATTAGTAAAAGAAAGGAAAAGGAAGAGAGAGAAAGGAAAAGTTGAAGAGGTGAAGGGAAGAAATTAAATATTTTTACATATTTATTTTAAAAAAAAATTAAATGTATAAACTAAATTCATCACAATCCCTCCACCCTTTAAAGAAAAAACCCAAACAATGAGAGGAAAACATTTTCCCTTGCTCTCATCCCCTTGTCCTTCAAATCCTCTAATCCAAACAAGTTAAAAATCCACTAGGGCAATAAAGGTATTTAAAATAGCCTACATATTCAGAGCTAATAGAAGGCTTTCACATGAGAATTCTTTTTTAAACAATAAGATCAGTGCAGTGCCTTAAGGTGGTGAAGGTAATGTTTCACATATAAAACTAGGTCAGGTCATTTTCAGAGGAATTTCACTTCCAAAATGTTTTACTTATTGGATTTTCTGTTGATCAGACTATAAAGACTATCAAACACTAGAAAATGTAGAAAATATTTTTCTTGAAGAGATTTGTTACAAACTAGACACTCCCTAAGACTCAAAACTTGTATCTCTACAAATCTTCTCACACGAAGTTCATGGAAAAAGGATTCATTAATATGGAAATTGCTAAATATATTGTATGAATTTAGCAAAATAAATTAAAAGTACACTATACTTTAAGAATTTAATTAAATTAATTTTTTATATTATTTTATTAAAAATATTTTAACAAATTTATAAAATAAATTAGATTTTTAGTATATAATTTAAACTACAAAACATGAATCTCATTTTTCATCAAATCCTTTATTATTATTTAATATTAAAATTTAAATCAAAATAATCACCTCATTAATAACTATAAAATATACCATTCATGCAACACAAATTAATAATAATAATAATAAATAATATCTCTTTCCTTTTATATAATTTGAGATGTTGTCTAAAGCTTTCTAAAAAAACCGATGTTGTATGAGGCATAATACCTTGAGAATATTTACAGAATAATAACTAACATGCTTGGGTGAAGTGATGTGGTAGCACTTTTGAAGGTTAGTGGAATGAGAAGCTTGCAATTCCCATATATATATATATATAGACAAAATAATTAGTTTTTAGCTAATAATCAGCCACTATTCTTAATGCATAAGCTTTTATGAAGTTTGTACAAACAAGATACACCTCCTTGTTTAAAGAGAGTAAGGTATGACATAATTAATTTCAACTCAATGTACATAAAATTTCCCAGGGGCTTCCAACGAAAAAAATTGGCCAAATCATGAATGATAAGGGAATTGAATCCTAACACTATCAAGGTTAGCTTCGATAAAATTGACACATGCTATGCAAAACGGGACAAAAACAAAGCATGAGATAGGATAAAAGGAAAATCTTACTGACGACTACTGCTTTCCACAACCTCTGCCAGTCCGTTATTGTTGCTCAAGTGCTGGTCTTTCTTGCCACACTTGAGATCTTCTTGTCCAGAAAGTTCCCCTAGTCTCACCTACAATTTTATTATTTTATAAGAAGTGTTAGAAAGCAATTTCAAGCAAATAGGTTCTTTTTTCTTCTATAATCCTATGCAAAACTGGACATGTATCCAGGAAGTGGGTAAATATCGTGTTTTGATGGATTGTAGTAGTCTACTTTTGCATGAAAGAAAAAATCGTAACACTAGTTGGGTCTTTCCCAAGTTCATAAGAGAAGGCAAAAATCTAGCCACCTCAAAGAAGAAGAAGAAGAAGAAGAACTACAGCAGTGTACTTTTGCATGAAAGTAAAAATCGTAACACTACTTGGGTCTTTCCCAAGAAGAAGAACTTTAGCAGTTTACTTTTGCATGAAAGTAAAAATCATAACACTAGTTGGGTCTTTCCCAAGTTCATAGGAGAAGGCAAAAACTTAGCCACCTTAAAGAAGAAGAAGAAGAAAGAAATCAATACATTACCTTCAAAGAGACATTTTCAAGAAGAAGAAGAAGAAGAACTATAGCAGTCTACTTTTGCATGAAAGCAAAAATCGTAACACTAGTTGGGTCTTTCCAACAATTAGGAATCTCAGAGACATTCTATTAAGGCCTTAGCACTTTTAGCCAGCTCATCGCATTCTGCCTGAGTCAAAAGCATGAACATATGACCCGATAGATCGTCTAGGTGCATTTGATGCAAGATATCCAACAATTAGGAAATTCTAACAAGCTCTTCATTACTTGTTTATGCAACCTGAATCTGCGAGCAGACTCCCTGTTTGATTGCTGCCTTCTCTGTCTTTTAAGCTCCCTTTCATCCTAAGTTCACAAAAGCATATTTGTGGCCAGTTAAATATTAAACAACACCACATGTTTTTGATCTCTGGAAAACCTTCATCTCGCTTATGGCAAGAGAACTTTGTGGATGGTCCATTCCGAGAGGAGTACTATAAATTAATACATTAACACTGTTGTAAGAAGCATTTATCATATCATTGATCCATATCCATATCTAAAAGGGAGGATAACACACCATAACGAAGGATTTTAAGATCATGAGAGAGAGAGGTAGAGAGAAAGCTAGGGGCTCAAGCTACAGACACCGTGTAGGATCGAGACGAACGGTACTGAGCAGAGAGTACACACAACCATGAGGGAAAAGCCGACAGTGGGGGTCAACTAACTCAGGATACAGGGGTTTCAGTAGGACCTAAAAGGTTTATTTCGACTAGGATATGATAAGGGAGTGTACAAACAAGCTACAGCCTTCTTTTTTACAAATATACCGAATGATTGGTGCTATTCAAACATGTGGAAAACTTTTAGCAGATATGGGAGGGTGCTAGAGATATACAGCCCACAAAGAAGAAACAAAAATGGTAGAAGATTCAGTTTTGTTTGATATTTAGAGGTAAAGACTGTGAAGGACTTTGAGAGACAACTAGACCAGATACGGGTTGAGGGATGAAAAATCTGGGTCAATGTAGCCAAGTACCCAGAGGAGAAGGCTAAAGTGAAGAAGATAAGTAAAGGTCCAGTTCCATCTATTGTAATCCAAGGGAGATCATATGCTGATGCTATCAGAGGCTAGGAAGGAATTAAATCTCGGATAACAAGGGGTTTACAGATGATGCCAAGGCCAGATAAAAAGTTAAAAGAAAATGGGGGTAGAGAAAAATACAATCAGCCTGAGCAGCGTCAGACGTGGAGAGCAAAAAACAGAAAGGCGAAAGGTTTGGCTGGGAGTATAATGTAAAGGAAGAAGATTATGAATGGGTGAAAGGGTGCTATGTTGGTAATGCCCATTAAGTGGAAATTGTCCCAAACCTCCAAGAGAAGTTTTATATGGAGGGATATTTCTCGTGCCATCTGAGGATAATGGGGGGTAAGATGGTTCTCATGGATTGTGAGGATAAAGAAGAGTTAAGAGATTTAGTGCAGGTGCCCCAAATTGGCTGGGTCAATGGTTCTCTGAAGTTAAGCCTTGGTCACCTTCAATGGTGGCAAAGGAAAGGTTTGTGTGGATCAGATGCCAAGGAGCTCCATTGCATGCTTAGGGTCCTACCTTCTTTGAGTCCATGGTAGTAGCTTAGGGAAAATTCATTTGTTTAGATGACAATACAAGTAAGAAAAGAAGGTTTGATATAGTTAGATTCCTCATATCCACTTCAATCATAGATTTAATCTCAGTTAAGCGTCAAATTAGAGTTAATGGGGCATTATACAATCTCAAGTTCACTGAAGAAGAAATGACTAACAACTTGTTCTCTTTGAGATATGACTTCATGCCAAGCTTCAAGAGTGAATCAGATCATGAAGAATACTGGTCGAAAGGAAGCAATTATGTTGTTGGTTTGCAAGATGATAATAATGGAACCATTAGGGACATTGCCGATGACGGAGAAGAAGATGTTGGTGACAACTTGAGGCAGAGTGCAGAGGATAGAAGGCAGGTCACCAATTCAACTTACGAGGTAGAATTTGAATTAGAAGAAAAAGTCTTGATGTGGGACAATATGAAAAGATTAATAGGGTCTCCCATAGCTGGCTGACAGGAAAAGAGTTTGCAGAAGAAGTCGCAGATAGCATTGAGGTGGGAACAGTGAATGATGATGTTGGCAGAATAGATGTAGAAAAAAGGGAATAGGAATCTAGACCTGAGAGCCAAACGAGTTCAAATCCAATAGAAGTTTCGAATGCTGTTGTGGATGCGCAAGTTCAACTCATCAAAAATGACTTAGGCCTACAAATAGAAGTCGAGGGAATCAAAATAAAACAAGGGGGCTGCAAATAGATTGGGAGAAAGAAGCAAACGAGGACTGATATATGGGCCGAAAATGCAAAAGAAAAAGGAGAACCAACAGATAAGGTGAAAACAGCGATGGGAGAAGACCAAAAGGGGAAAAACAACTCGTTTTGGGAAGGAATGGGGAGCAAAGATGGCAGTGAGAAGGAGTGGATGGGCAAGAGCCAAAAAGCAGACAAGAAAAGTAAAAGGAAGAGGACAAAATCTTGCAACTTGGTATATCAAAGATCAACCTTTATGGGTTTGACATACCAAAGGAAAAAGGGCAGAGGCAGATCCAGGTTGAGCAAAGCAGAAAGAGTAAGATCCTAGAGTTCACGCCAAGTAAATGTGACTCAATGGCAGGGGGTTCAGTCGAGGACAACGGAATTGTAAATTGCAACAGAATTTTGAAGGAGCATACAAACCAAAAAACTACAGTAGACTTATGGAATTTTGCAAAAAGAATTGGAGTGGTTGCAGAGGATGAGAAAGCGATTATCTGGGACTTGGAAGAAATGGAAACAATAGATAGAAAAGAAACGGAATCAGAAGGCTCAAAGAGAGAGAGCAGGGATAAAAAGGTGAGTGCTGCTGACCCATGAATAGAATGTCCTATAATATAAGAGGGTTGGGGGGTGCTGGGAAGAAAAGGCATCTCAGGGAATTAGTAAGTAAGGAGAAAGTGAATTTTTTAGCATTACAAGAAACTAAGATAGGAGGGATAGACAGGAGTATGTGTAGATTGGTGCGGGGATCAGATGATTTTGAATGGATTGCTAAAGATGTAGAGGTTTTGTCTGGAGGTATGCTATGTATATGGAACTCTAAGGATATTAAAATGAATTGAGTTTTGGAGGGAGGAAATTATATTGGCATTGAAGGGGAATGGGGTTTTGAGAAAATACCAGTTAATATCATCAATGTTTATTCCCCATGTCAATTAGCAGGAAAAAGAGCTCTATGGGAAGAGTTAAAAAATCTGGTATTAGGTAAAGGAGGCAATTGGTGTATTGGGAGATTTTAATGCTATAAGGAAAGTGGAAGAAAAAACAAGGAGCAGAGAAGTAACCATTGTGATTAGGGAGTTCGATAGCTTCATTCGTGACATGGAATTGATTGATATTCTACTAGTGGGAAGAAAGTTCACCTGGGTCCAATCTAGTGGAATCTACATGAGCAGAATTGATAGGTTCCTACTATCTAAAGGATGGTTGGCTAAATAGGGTTATGATAAGAAATGGGGATTAAGCAGAATAGTGTCGGATCACTGCCCAATCCAGCTTAGACATCAACAAATTGACTGGGGGCCTAAGCCATTGATACATGGCTAGAACAAGAAGGTTGTAGAGAGGTGATTAAAGAAACATGGAGTAAGGAAAATATTAAAGGGTGGGCAGGATATCGTTTGAAAGAGAAGCTGAAGAAGACTAAGGAGGCCTTAAGAAAATAGAGCAAGAAATATGTCCCTAAAATAGACCAAAAAATAAACATTGCCATTGTAGAGATCGCTCAAATAGACATGAAAAGAGAAGTGGAATAGCTAGTAAAGGAGGAAATCAAGAGAAGAAGGGAGGCTTTCATAGTTCTGTGGGATAACATTAGGTACAAGGAAAGCATGTTGTGGCAAAAATCAAGGACTGCATGGTTGGTGAAGGAGGATGCCAACACAAGATTTTTCCATAATTCTGTGAAGGGTAGATAGAGGAGCAATGAAATAAACAATGCACAAGTAAATGGTGCCCAGATTGAGGACGTGAGCAAAATGAAAGAGGAGATTAGTGCTTTTTTTGAACATATGTTCACATAAGAAAAGCGGGAAAGGCCGAGGCTAAAAGGGGTGGATTTCAAGCAAATCTCAATGGATAACAATGAAGCTCTAATTGCTCCTTTTTTTGAAAACGAAATTAAAGAAGCAATATGGGGTTGTGATAGCTCGAAAGCACCAAGACCCGATGGATTCAATTTCAGTTTCATTAAAAGCCAATGGGAGATAACCAAGGAAGATGTGATCGGATTCCTCCAAGATTTCCAGAAAAACAGTAAGTTGGTGAAAGGCCTAAATACCTCTTTCATTGTCCTTGTATCGAAAGTTGACAATCCGCAAAAGATAAAGGAATTTAGACCTATATCCCTCATTGGAGTATTGTACAAAATACTAACAAAGATATTAGCTAACCACCTCAAAAAGGTACTTGGTGAGATAATTGGTGAAGAACAGATGACGTTCATAAATGAAAGACAATTGATGGATGGAGTAGTGATCACAAATGATGTGGTTGATGAAGCAAAAAAGAAGAGGAGGAAATCCTTCATGTTCAAGATTGATTTTGAGAAGGCTTATGATAAAGTAAGATGGAATTTTCTTGACTTCATGATGCAGAGGTTGGGTTTTTATATCACTTGGAGGAATTGGATACAAGAATGCTTGAGGACAAACCTGGTTTCGGTCTGGCTTAATGGCAACCCAACAAGAGAATTCTCAACTTCACGTGACCTAAGACAAGGAGATCCTTTATCTCCATTTTTGTTTCTGATCATTGTAGAGGGGCTAAACGGCTTGATTTCGACAACATTCCAAAAAAGCCTATTGGAAGGAGTGGAGGTGGGCTTAAGAGGCTTTAAAGTTTCACACTTGTAGTATGCAGATGACACAATTCTGTTCAAAACAGCTACAGAGGACAACGTATGGGCAATGAAAGGAATTTTGAGATCCTTCAAACTTGTGTCAGGTTTAAAGATCAATTTCAATAAAAGCCATCTAATTGGCATTTGTGTGGAGGAAGAATGGATTGAAAAAAAGGCATGGGTGATGAGTTGCAAAAAGGGTTCATTCCCTTTTAAGTACTTGGGTATCCCCATTGGAGGGAAATGCAAGAAAATAGCTTTCTGGAAACCGTTGATAGATGCTTTCAATAAAAAATTATCTACATGGAAGAGCC